TCCCCCCTCCCCCGGACTTCCTTGTGCCGGTTCCCCCCCCGGTAGACCCCCTCCCCCCTCAGGTTCCTGCCCCCTCATGTGTGTCCCAGGTAGACGCCGTTGACCCGGTCGAGGTTACTGGTGACTCTGGTGCTGCTGCGGGTGCTGAGCCTGGGGGTGCTGACTCTGGGGGTGCTGTGCGCGGGGGTGCTGAGCCTGGGGGTGCTACTGCTGGGGGTGCTGGGCCTGAGGGTGCTACTGCGGAGGGTGCGGAGCCTGGGGGTGCTGAGCCGGGGGGTGCTATGCCTGGAGGTGCTGGGTCTGGGGGTGCTGGGTCGGGAGCTGCTGAGCCTGGGGGTGCTGAGCTGGGAGCTGCTGAGCCTGGGGGTGCTGCGTCTGGAGCTGCTGAGCCTGGGGTTTCTCCTGCTGCTGCGTCTCGCCGGGAGCCCCTCTCTCCACAGGAGCTGCGCGAGTGGTTCGCTCGCCGCTGGAGGCGTGCTGCTGAGTCTGGAGGTGCTGCTGGAGCTGGAGCTGGGGCTTCTTCGACCGTCGAGGGTGCGGGTGCAGCCGGTCCCGGAGCTGCTGGCCCTGCAGGTCCTCCTGGAGCTGGAGCTGCTGAGGGCGTTCGTGCTGAGCCTGCTGCTGTTGGTCCTGCCGCTGGAGGTGTGGGTGGCGCTGGTGCTGTCGCTGAGGGTGCTGGTGCTGTCCCTGCTGAGTCTGGAGCTGCCGCGCGGCCTCGGCCGTACTTCGTTCCGCTCCTTCAGCAGGTTCTTGGTCTTTCTCCTCCAGTAGAGGGTCCACCGCCTGTCCAGTCGCAGCCCCTACTGGAGCCTTCCTCTCCACTGCCTGCTCCCTCTCCTTACACTGGTCCTACTGGAGGTCTTGCTGAGCGTCGTGAGCCTGCGTCTCGTCCCGCGTCGCCTGTTCGTGCTGCTCGCGCTAGTGGTCGCAGTTCGCGTCAGCGTCCTCCTCCTGTCCCTGGCACGCACCGGATGTCTCTGCGTCCGTCCACTGCTCCTCTGCGTGCCCCTTTGCCTTCTCCTCCTGAGTCCTCTCTTCCTGCGCTTGCGGACCCTGAGTCGGACTCTCTTCGTGCTGCCAGTCCCACTGTCACGCGTCTGCTTGCTACTGTCGTCACTGACCCCTCTTTTGAGTCCACTGCTGCGTCTGCTCTAGTCGCTGAGCTCGTCGACTTTGCTGCTCGCTGTCGTCTCGACTACGCTGCTAGTCTTGTTGCTGAGTCTGCGTCTGTCTGTCCTCCGTCCGTCGGGGGTGAGTGTGCTCTTGGCACGGACGTCCTAGAGGACAGGCAGGAGGAGTTACAGTGTCTAGCGGCTGCTTCACCTCATCTCGCGTCTGTACTGCTTGCCCCTGAGGGAGACCCGGATGCACTAGACATCCCGACTCCGCGTTCTTACGCGGAGGCCGTAGAGGGTCCCTACTCCTCTCAGTGGCAGGCAGCTATGGATGCAGAGATGGCTTCCTGGAAGTCCACAGGCACCTACGTTGACGCGGTTCCCCCTCCTGGGGCGAACATCGTCAGTGGCATGTGGATCTTCAGGGTGAAGCGGCCGCCGGGCTCTCCACCTGTCTTCAAGGCACGGTACGTTGCTCGTGGCTTCACTCAGCGGCAGGGAGTTGACTACTTTCAGACCTTCTCTCCCACCCCGAAGATGACTACTCTTCGGGTGCTGCTGCACATAGCCGCTCAGCGCGACTACGAGCTTCACTCTCTCCACTTCAGCACTGCGTTCTTGCAGGGTAGCCTGCACGAGGAGATCTGGCTTCGCCGTCCACCTGGCTTCACTGGGTCTTTCCCTCCTGGCACCCAGTGGAGCCTCCGACGGCCAGTCTACGGTCTCCGCCAGGCACCGCGTGAGTGGCACGACACACTGAGGACTACGCTTGCGGCTCTTGGGTTTGCTCCTTCTACTGCTGACCCGTCGCTGTTTCTTCGCACCGACACTTCCCTGCCGCCGTTCTACATCCTCGTGTACGTCGACGACCTGGTCTTTGCCACAGCGGACACTGCTGGACTCGCCTACGTGAAGTCCGAGCTGTTGAAGAGACACACGTGCACAGACCTGGGTGAACTGCGCAGCTACCTTGGCTTGCAGATCACTCGGGACAGAGCACGCCGCACCATTACCTTGACTCAGTCACACATGGTGCAGCAGGTCCTTCAGCGCTTCGGCTTCACGTACTCCTCGCCTCAGGCCACTCCTCTGCCTACTCGCCACTCACTCTCAGCTCTGCCTTCGGATGAGTCCGTAGAGTCGAGTGGTCCGTATGCGGAGCTTGTTGGCTGCCTCATGTACCTGATGACCTGCACACGACCTGACCTTGCATACCCTCTGAGCATTCTTGCACGCTATGTTGCTCCTGGGAGACACAGACCGGAGCACATGGCTGCAGCGAAGAGGGTATTGCGCTACCTGTGCAGTACGTCAGGCATGGGGCTAGTGCTTGGAGGGCGGAGTCCAGTGGTCCTTACCGGCCACGCGGACGCTTCTTGGGCTGACGACCAGGCTACGCAGCGGTCGTCACAGGGTTACACCTTCAGCCTTGGTTCCGGCTCTGTCTCGTGGCGGTCTACTCGCTCGTCTTCGGTTCTCGGCTCCAGTTGTGAGGCTGAGATCTACGCCGGGGCCATGGCTGCACAGGAGCTTCGCTGGCTCACCTACCTGCTGACTGACCTTGGAGAGCCGCCTCGTTCTCCTCCAGTGCTGTACGTAGACAACAAGGCTATGCTGGCCTTGTGTCGAGAGCAGCGCTTGGAGCACAGAACGAAGCACATTGCTCTCCGCTACTTCCTTGCTCGTGAGCTGCAGCAGCGTGGTCAGTTGCGACTTGCGTACGTGGCCTCTGAGGCCAACACTGCTGATGTGTTCACCAAGGCACTTGCGCCTTGTGACCATCAGCGCTTCTGCACCCAGCTGGGTCTTGTGCCTGTCTTGCCTCACTTGCTCTCCTCTTGACTTCACTTGTACTGTGACATATATATATACCTGCTCTTGCTTGTCTAGCTTTATATATATGTCTGTACTCTTGCTTGTGAACTGGCCTTTGGCCTTGCTCTTTTGCTCGGACTGTGTGGTGACTTTGTGATCCACCCTGAGCTTTGCTTTGTCTTGCTTGACTGGTCTTGTGACCCCTTGTTCTCCCCCACTTTGCCTATGGGGGTGTGTCAGAACATATCTATAGCTTATACTGCTGTGTAGGCTGTAGTGGGGTATCCCATAGGGGGTACAACCCAGTTAGGGTTTCATATTTGTACTGCTTTCGTTCATAGTTCATTCATTCCTGTTTTCCTATTGTCACAGGTCAGGTTGTGTGCAGGTCATCAGATACATGAGGCAGCCAACAAGCTTTGGGTACGGGCCACTCAACTCTACGGACTCATCCGAAGGCAGAGCTGAGAGCGAGTGGCGAGTAGGCAGAGGAGTGGCCTGAGGCGAGGAGTACGTGAAGCCGAAGCGCTGAAGGACCTGCTGCACCATGTGTGACTGAGTCAGGGTAATGGTGCGGCGTGCTCTGTCCGGGGTGATCTGCAAGCCAAGGTAGCTGCGCAGTTCACCCAGGTCAGTGCACGTGTGTCTCTTCTGCAGCTCGGACTTCACGTGGGCGAGTCCAGCAGTGTCAGTAGTGGCAAAGACCAAGTCGTCGACGTACAGGAGGATGTAGAACGGCGGCAAAGAGGTGTCGGTGCGCAGAAACAGGGACGGGTCAGCAGTAGAAGGAGCAAACCCAAGAGCCGCAAGTGTAGTCCTCAGTGTGTCGTGCCACTCACGGGGCGCCTGGGGAAGACCGTAGACTGGCCGCCGGAGGCTCCACTGGGTGCTAGGAGGAAAAGACCCAGTGAAGCCAAGTGGGCGACGCAGCCAGATCTCCTCGTGCAGGCTGCCCTGCAAGAAAGCAGTGCTGAAGTCAAGAGAGTGCAGCTCGTAGTCGCGGTGAGCAGCTATGTGCAGCAGTACCCGAAGAGTGGTCATCTTCGGAGTGGGAGAGAAGGTCTGAAAGTAATCAACTCCCTGCCGCTGACTGAAGCCTCGAGCCACGTAACGCGCCTTGAAGACAGGCGGAGAACCCGACGGCCGCTTCACCATGAAAATCCACATGCCACTGACGATGTTCGCCCCAGGCGGGGGAACCTCGTCAACGTAGGTGCCTGTGGACCTCCAAGAAGCCATCTCTGCGTCCATAGCTGCCTGCCATTGAGAGGAGTAGGGACCCTCTATCGCCTCCGCGTAAGAGCGCGGAGTCGGGATGTCAAGTACATTCGGGTCTCCCTCAGGGGTAAGCAGTACGGACACGAGATGAGGTGAAGCAGCAGCCAAACACTGGAACTCCTCCTGCCTGTCCTCAAGGACGTCCGTGCCAAGGGCACACTCACCCCCGACGGACGGAGGACAGACAGACTCAGACTCAGTGACAAGACTAGCAGCGTAGTCTAGACGACAGCGAGCAGCAAAGTGGACGAGCTCAGCAATTAGGGCAGACGCAGCAGTGGACTCAAAGGAAGGGTCAGTGACGACAGTAGCAAGGAGACGCGTGACAGTAGGACTGGCAGCACGAAGAGAGTCCGACTCCGGGTCGGTAAGAGCAGGAAGAGAGGACTCATGAGGAGAAGGCAAAGGGGCACGCAGAGGAGCAGTGGACGGACGTAGAGACATCCGGTGCGTGCCAGGGACAGGAGGAGGACGCTGACGCAAACCACAACCACTAGTGCGATAGTAGGCTCGCAGAAGGACAGAGGAGAGCTCTCAGCCTCTGTCAGAGTGTAGACGCAGAACACGAAAGTCCGAGCCAAAGCTCTGCCTGAGCTAGAGACGAGCTGCGCGGATCCAGTCGATCAACACCTCAGTGACATCACCCTTGCTGCGCAAGGGGAAGATTGTGGTGTAACTCGAGTAGTGGTCAACCACCAGCAGGAAGTAGCGCTCGTGACCCTGTCCACGGACGCGGGCCGGGCCCCACACGTCCATGTGAAGCGTCTGCAGCGAGGCCTCTGTCGGAGGAAACTAGGAGGAGTGAGGGGCAGCCCGCTGCCGCCCCTCGACATAGGGGACGCAGGTAGGGCTAGGCCCCGGAGGAAGGGGAGGGAGGGACCGGGGAAGACCAGAGACAAGGAGACGGGAGGCCATGCCTCGGAGACGAAGCAGAGAGGGGTGACCAGGGCGGTGGTGCCAGAGGAGAGTCTGGGGAGACAGGAGGCGACACGAGCAGGGGGCAGACTCAGGACCAGACCTGGACGCTGCAGCAAATACCTGACGCGACGCAGCTACCTGACCAGACGCAGTGACTGGAGGAGACTCAGTGGTCAGTGTGTACAGGCTCGACCCCGGCCGACGTGTAAACGTGGCCAGGTGTCGGCCTGTCCGAGCGTCCGTGCAGTGGGTCACCCGCTGACTCGCAGGAGTGAACTGGTGAACCCCTGCATCCTGTAGGTCAGCACCACTCACCAAGTTTGTCGAGAATGAGGGGAGGTAAACACCAGACAGGGTGCAAGAGGGGGCCGCCGGACACGGGAGGACAATGGAGTAGTGAGCAAGGACAGGACCCCCAGAGGGGTCTGCCAGAGAGACTGCAACTGGCCGGCCAAGCGGCGTGAGTGTGGTGCGGTCTGGAAAGAAGGAGCGAGAAGCCCCCGAGTCAAGGGTGAAGGTGTGGGAGGCCGAAGCCGACGTAGTACCTGAGAGAGCAGACTCACCAGCACCTGAGGGAGCAGACGCACGAGCACCTAGAGCAGCAGCCTCGCTAGCACCTAGAGCAGCAACCTCACCTGTACCTAGAGCAACAGTCTCAATGCCCGGGTCGGGCGGAAAACACCGGTAACAGTCACCCTCATCACTAATAGTCACAGCATACATGGCAGCAAGAATAGCATCAAAGTCAAGGTCAAAGACAGCTACTCCCACCCTAGACAGTTCGCCCCAGCGAGGGATCTCAGTGGCCTCCGGGAACTGGTGACGCCAAGCGTCCGTCACGCGGCCAAAGTAGCGCTGGGTGGAGTGCGCACCCCCACACTGCTCACCCGCGCAGTCGCCGGTGCGAAGGACGTAGGTGCACGGACCAGTACCCCCACCCTGTTGGCGTGCAGCGTACAACTGACGGAGCTGCTGAGGGGGGGGGATGTCACGAGTGCGCTGCTGTTGCTGCTGCTGCTGGCGCTGACCACCACCAGAGCCGACCCTCTGCGCAGCGCCACCCCGACCAGCTCCACCTCCTCCACCACCGCCTCCTCCATCGCCGCCACCTCCGCCACCTCCGCTCCCACTGCCACCGCCGCCGCCGCCTCTGCCTCCACTACCGCCACTGACACCTCCACCCCCGCCACCACCCCCACCGCCACCCCCACCCCCTCCACCGCCTCCACCGCCGCCTCCACCGCCCCCGCTAGCTCCTCCAGCGCCCTCGCCCCCCTTGACCTTGCCAGGGCGGCGTCTCCCGCTAGGGGTAGACGCCGCACCGACCGACTCAAGCCCAACGAGGTCGGCCGCGGCAGCAGATGGGGCAAGAGAGGCACCAGAGGTGAGGTGAAAGAGGGAGAGACCGTCTGCCCTATCGCACTGTAGGAAAAGCTGCAGGTCATCTACCCTGACGTCAAAGTCAATGGCCCGACCCTCAGCGTCAAAAGTGAGGACACTAGGGGTAGCCATGACTGCAGTAGACTAGTAGCGCGAACAGTAGGGTAAGGGCAGTGCAGTGATAGAGGCGCTGCTCTTACCAGACAGGGCGGCTCGGGTGGCTTGGCGGCTCGGCGGCTCGGCAACTCGGCGGCTCAGGCGGCTCGGCGACGCGGCTGCTGGGCGGCTTGGCTGTTCGGCTGCTGGGCGGCTCGGCGGCTCAGCTGCTGGGCGGCTCGGTGGCTAGGCTGCTGGGCGGCTCGGCGGCTCGGCTGCTGGGCGGCTGTGCTGCTAAGGAAGGCGGGGCCGCGAAGGGCGGCGGGGCCGCTTAAGTGAGCAGCGACGGGGCCGCAGAGGAGGCGGCGGGAGGGCCGCTGTAAGGGGGGCGTTGGGCTGTAAGGGGAGGGCGGTGACGGGGCCGCTGAAAGAGGCGGCGGGGTCGCTGGAAGAGCGGCGTCGGGGCCGCTGTGAGGGCGGCGACGTGGCCGCGTCAGGGGCGGCGATAGGGCCGCTGTAAGGGCGGCGACGGGGCCGCTGCAAGGGCAGCGACGGGGCCGCAGGTGAAAGGGCGGCGACGGGCCACAGAGGGAGGGCGGCAACGGGCCGCTGAGGGCGGTACGACGGGGCCGCGAAAGGGGCGGCGCGACGGGGCCGCGAAAGGGCGGCGCGACGCGGCCGCGAAGGGCGGCGCGATGGGACCGCTAAGGGCGGCGCGACGGGCCGCTAAGGGCGACGCGACGGGGCCGCTAGGGAAGGCGCGACCCTAAGCGCGCTTCGGGCAGGGGCGGGACGCGCCTCGGGCAGGAAAAAAAAAAAGTCGGTGGGCCCTAGGAACAGTTCCCACTAGGGAACCTGCTCGATACCATGAGAAAAGAGAACGAGAATGATTGAACTATGAAAGAGTTGGGTACAAGTACTAACCCTAATTGGGTTGTACCCCTTATGGGCTACCCCACTACTGCCTACATAAATGTATAAGCTATAATGTTTTGACACTTTTTGCATATTCTGATGGTTCATATTTAAATACACTTATCAGAGCAATTTTTGTCAGAATCCCAACCACTAGACCATTGGGATAAAAGGGCTTGTTTCAGTAGCGGGTCAGTGCGCCCATAACCCCCCAGGCGAACGCGCCTGTAACCCTCTCCTGGATCAATCGGGCATCCACAGTGCAGATCTACTGACACCCCCCACACTAGGAGGCCTAGGACTAAGCACAGCGGCAACGGCCTACATGTGCATATACCGGAAAACGAACCCGAGACCGCTCTGATACCATGTCAGAATCCCAACCCCTAGACCATTGGGATAAAAGGGCTTGTTTCAGTAGCGGGTCAGTGCGCCCATAACCCCCCAGGCGAACGTGCTTGTAACCCTCTCCAAGATCAATCGGGCATCCACAGTGCAGATCTACTGACAATTTTGGCTTGGTTTGTGCGCAAAGAAAAGTTTGGCACCTATAATTGCTGGATTTTTTTGGCGACAAATGCAAAGAATGCGCATAGATCCCCATAAGCTTAGGAAAAAACATTGAACACTTGAGCAATTTTGGCTTGATTCGTGCTCAAAGAAAAGTTCGACACACATGATTACAGTGGTTTTTTCCAACAAATGCATTGAATTCACATAAATCCCTGTAGGCGTAGGAAAAACCATTGAACAACCTAAATGTTTTTGCATATTCAGGTGGCTCATTTTCAAATACACCTATTAACACAATTTCAGCTTGGTTCGTGCTCAAAGAAAACTTCGGCACATATGATTACGACTGTTTTTGCCGGCAAATGCTCCCCAAAGGTGTAGGAAAATACATTAACAATCTGTTTGTTTTCAAATATTATGATGGCTCATGCTCAAATACATCTATAAGAGCAATTTTGGCTTGGTTTGTGCGCAAAGAAAGAGTTGCTACATGTTCATGATTTGTACATCTAAACCCCATATATGTTCAAGCTCCTAGTGACTCGTTTTGAGTGTATGTGCTGGCAGGGGATCTTTCCCGGTCAAGTAGCGTGAGATTTTGTTACAATCCCAAATGGGACTTAAGCGAAGGATCGTTCAGGATTGATCGCAGAGTAGTGTTGCGGCGGAAGTAGTGAACTCAGGTCAGAGTGAATGAAAATGGCTGAGATTAATGATAGCATGCATACATCGAGTTTATATAAGAATACAAGGGAATACGAAAAGACCTAGACTAGCCATGTACTCTAAGGGGTACATTCCCTTCTTGCAGCGAATTCAAAACCGTGCAGCACGGTAATCCGTTTCAAACCTGTTCTCGCTCTATTCATTTCAAATGTTTCTGCCTGCATCGGTCTTGGTCAGACGGTTGCTGCGTCGCTTCGACTCTTCTGACTCCTCGACTTCATACTCAGTAGAGTCAACTTCTGCAGCATACAGGAATGCCTTCTCATACAACTTCATATCGTAACACTCCCCTTCATTCTTGGGCGCGGGAGGAGCTGACTCGCTTGACTACTCCGGTGAGGTCAGAGCAGTGCTTGTACTGCTGACGTGGCAATATGCGAAAGTCTGCTGCCATCTCGGTGGTTGGGCAATATGCGAGGTCAACTTTCCCTTTGTCAATTTCGTTCTTGACGAAAAAGTACCGAAGCGCGATGTGCTTCTTGCGGTTCACGAAACCTGGCTTGTTCGCAATCCTGATGGCACTCTAGTTGTTGCAGTGAAGGCGAAAGGTGGGCGAAGTTGGGATTTTTGCCTCCTGTAGCAGCTCCTGCAGGTACTGGCCTTCGCAAACTGCTGCTGACGCGGCGATGTATTCTGCTTCAGCCGATAACAGGGCAACCAGCTCCTGCTTCTGTGAGTTCCGGGAGATTGGCCCAGTTGGTTCTAGGCGAAAAACAAAGTTGATTCGAGACCGTCGATTTGCAGGATCAGCGGCGTGATCTGCATCCACGTTGCCATTGAGATTGAAGGAGGTTGTTGTCAGCGTGTCACAATCCCAACCACTAGACCATTGGGATATAAGGGCTTGTTAAGTAGCGGGTCAGTGCGCCCATAACCCCCCAAGCCAACATGCCTGTAACCCTTCCTTAGGATCAATCGGGGATCACCAGTGGACCTCTGACACCCTCCCGCACTGGGATGTCCGAAGTGCACACACTGGGATTCGAACCCGAGACCTTCGCTCTGATACCATGTCAGAATCCCAACCATTAGACCATTGGGATAAAAGGGCTTGTTAAGTAGCGGGTCAAAGCGCCCATAACCCCCTAGGCCAACATGCCTGTAACCCTTCCCTAGGATCAATCGGGGATCACCAGTGGACCTCTGACACAGCGTGGAGTAGGAGAGCTCGATGTCAGGTGTGGAGATGAAGTACTGTAGGGCACGCTCCAGGTCCAGCTGGTTCTCAGCTGCTGGCTTGCGTGTATACTGCGCCAGTTGGCTGGCAATGTACGAAAGGTCGGGTCGGCAGGTGACAAATGCGAACAGCAGGCAACCCAGTTGCTGCTGGTATAGTTGAAGTGCCGCAGGGGATAGAGGTTTGTTGTCCGGTTTGTAGTTGGCTCTAGGGTTGCGGTAAGGGGTTGAGAGTGGTGCGGGTGAAATGTTGAAGCGTTCTCCCAGCTATTCTGCATACTTGGAGGCTGACAGATGGATTGCTTTTGGCGCGTAGGTAATGTTCAGCCCCAAAAATTGCTTGACGTTGTGGTTCATGGTGAAATCAACGCGCTGCGCCAGGTTCTCCTCAAACTGGTCAAGGAGTTTGTTGCAGGTGCCTGTGTACAGCAGGTCGTCGACGTAGACTGTCAGGAGAATGTAATCACCGCTGAAGTGAAGGCAGTACATTTCCGGGTCGTACGGCAGCTGCTTGAATCCGATTTCCAGGAGAATGTTGTGCAGATGCTGCTGCGAGAGACGAGGCGCCTGCTTTATCCCGTAGAGGGACTTCTTCAACTGGCAGACCCGTGAATCTTCTTCTTCGTATGTGTGTAGCTGTTCCACGAAGATGGTGGCATTCACCAACGTGTATAAGAACACGTTCTTTACGTCGATCTGTCGCAGTGGCAGATGCTTAGCGGCGACAATGGCGAGTAGAATCCTGACGGAGGTGTGATGGCTGACGAGAGCGAAGGTTTGATCGAAGTCGATGCCGTGGCATTGGTTGTACCCGCGTACGACCCAGCGTGCTTTGAAACATTCGATGGTTCCGTCAGAGTTGGTCTTCAAGTGAAAAACCCATTTTCCGCTGAGCACCCTCCTCCCCTTCACTGCTGCACGATCGACTAGGACCCATGTGTCTCAAGATTCTAGCGCCTTTAGCTCCGCATCCATCGCGGCACGCCAATCCATGGCGTGAGGGCCGGTGAGGGCTTGGCGCGAATTCTTGTGTTTGACAGCGCGCGCGAGAGTAGTGACGGACATGTGCACGCCGAGAAGCTGTAGACCGGACACGTTAGCAGTGTCTGTGGTGTTGGTGGTGACTTCCACCACGTCGTCGTCACTGCTCTCGTAGCCGGGTGAGACGGTACTTGGCCCAGCTTGGCGTTGTAATGGCCCTGGCGCGGAAGCGTCGTCGCTGTCATCGTCGTCGTCGTTGTGTGGGCGAGGTGGTACGCTTGGATGTTCATCGGCGTCATCGCGGTCCAGTGCCGCTTCGTCTTCTGGAGACGCGAAGCTGCGGCCGCTGTTGACGTAGCCGCGTGCCTCGTTGCGGCGTTCGTCCTCGATCCACTACTTCAAGGTGAGCCGCTCGTAGAAGAAAACATCACGCGCAGGAGCAACCTCCTTGCTGTCGATGTCGAGAATGAGCTAGCCTTTGTGCTCATTGCTGAGGCCCCGATGAATTCCCCAGCGCGCACGATGAGCGAACTTGCCGATTGTGGCTGAGGTCGGCCGATACTGAACCATGCACCCCCAGACCCTCAGCATAGAGGGATCTCCCCTTGAGCCGGTCCACTTCATATGAGGGGAAAGATTGTCTCTGTTGGCGGTGGTGGAGAGAAGGTTGTGCAGATGCACCGCATGGTTCATGGCGTAGGGCCAATACTTCTTGGGTAGGCCGG